AAAAAAAAAAAAAAAAGCCAAAAATTAAGAAGCACAAACTAAACGATGCGTTGTGAAAACACAAACGTCTGAATTTCCCACCTAACGCCGTGCACACGACAGAGGCCCCAAGCTTCGTTCTAACCCGGCATCACCGGGCCTTCCGCCCAGCGGGGCGCACAGCCAGCCGCAGGGCCCGGGGACACCGGGGTGCCTGGGGGCGAGCGAGGCCCGGCCGGCCCGGCGCCGCGCTGCGGGCCGCGGATCGCGGATAGGCCCGGGCCCCGCACGCCCGCCTCCCCCCGCTCCGCACCCAGCGCCCCACCAGCCTTACTGGCAGCCAACGCCGCGCCGCCCGCTCCGGGCCCGCCCCGAGGGCGGCTCCGCTGCCCGCACGGCCGCCTCTGCGCCCCGAGGCCTCTGCCCGGCCCGCCTCCGCCGCAGGCCTCGCGCGGCCCGAAGGCCCTTGCGGGCCCGCTGCCCCCTGCGGCCCTGCTCCGTGTTCCCCCTCACGGCCCCGCACGCCCGCACGAAGGCCCGGGTCAAACTGCGGGAGCTCCTTTCATTGCAGCAGCACAGCACAGCACAGCACCCTGTGTCACAGAAACACCCCAGGAATTTGCTTCCCTTCCACGCCCCGCGCTGTCCCTGCGCTCTGACTGCCGTCCTGCCGTCCTGCCGTAACCTGGAGCTTGCAGCTCGCTGCTGCCGGCAGCCTTGTTAACATGTGCTGCCGCCAGAGCTCCTCCACCGTCCTTGTTAATTAGGCTCCGCAGAGGTAATTAAGCAATGACTAACGCAGCAGCGAACGCAAGTATCCGGCATAAGCATGAGAGAGATTTTGCAGGTAGATACATTGGATATGTTATTAAAAAATCACAGAATCACAGAGTTGTAGGGGTTGGAAAGGACCTCCAGAGATCATCGAGTCCAACCCCCCTGCCAAAGCAGGTTCCCTATCTTGGTGATAACAATCAAGACTCAATGCGTTATAATAGTTTAAAATATTCTATTTTTTTTTTCTCTTATGCACAAAACAGGTCACCTTTGATGTCTTTTCCCTTTGTGCTGAGAATGGGGTTGCTGGCCTGAGGGGCTGCAGCTCAGCAGGCGAGGTTCCAGTGGATCCATCTGGTGGGGTGCCCTCTGCAGCCTGGAATGGCTGCATGGGGCTGCATGGGGCTGCATGAGGCTGTGTGGGGCTGCAGGCACTTGTGGGCACTGCACAGCAAGGAGAGGTGGTGCCTAAACTGGGGATGCAGATCTTGTTTGCACTTTCCTAAAATTCTCATTAATTCCGGACCAGACAAAATGAGGTTAGCAGTGGGTGTACGTTACTGATGCTCATGGAATCACAGAAGCATTCAGGAAGGATCCCCAACCCAGCCCCAGCCCACCCCCCTGTTCCCACTGCCCAGGTCCATCAGTGCCACATCCCCACAGCTCTGAACACCCCCAACCCCCTTCCAACTCCTATGATTCTGTGATTCTGTGAAATATTCCCTGTTTCCCATCAACATGCATGTCGTCAGCCCCTAATTTTCCCTATTGCACTCATTCACCTAAGCAGAGATGTAGAAGCTGATCCTTTGCCACTGCCCAGGGACAGTGACCCCCTCACTCCCTGGGCAGCTGTGCCAATGAAACCGGTGAGTGAATAATCCCACTCAGAAAGTATGCTGCAAGCACTGGTGCAGCCACAGGGGGATTCCTGGCACAGCCCGTGAAGGACATCAGCAGCCTGTTACACCATCCAGGCTGATACGGGGCATTCCTTGTTCTGGGGTTTAGAATTGGAACTGGAATTGATTATTCCAGTTCATTCAGTCTCTACTTCTATGGTGCAACCTCTCCCACTGATTCGAGCAACTTGTAGAGAGCTGAAGATGGGAGGCAGAAGGCACTTGGCAGCTTTCTGTGGTTCCTTTGTATGTCCTGGGGCACTTTCTGTGAATGCTGGAGCTCTTTGTGGAGCAGGTGGAGACAGGGAAAGAAAGTGGTGACAGAAATGTGTGTAAAGCAGGAAATACAGCAGAGGTCAGAGCTGCTGAGATGTGTGGATGGCAGTGGCAGTGATGGGGCTCAGCTTTCTGAAGAAAGGAGTGCTGATGAAATGCGATGAAATGCTCAAATATGCATTTAATGTGAGATGTAGGGTTCTTTTTTTTCTTGAGTTGACCCATATATAATTTCCCTGCGTATTTTCAGTATTCTGTTCTGTGAATGCATTAGAGAGACTACTATTCAATTATAATCTTCTTGCTTCTTATTTCATTTTCCATAGCTGTTAGACTTTCATGAGATCCCTTATCTCTGAAATGCCAGCAATTTCATTTTAATTTGGGGATATATATATATATATATATATATATATATTTTTTTTTTTTTTTTTTAAGAATGCCTTTTGCAGTTGTAATGAGTTATCTTGTGATACAGATTTCCCAGAATCTGTGTTCACAGTCAGAAGATGCTGTATGTAATACGGGTTGCTTTACTCAGATATGGGAGGGAACTGAACATTCTCACGCAGGCTGAACACTGCTTGATAAAGCAAACCTTTCTCCTTGTTGCATTTCAGCCTTGGTGTGTGTTTGAGTGTAAGTTTATCAGGAAGATTCGGCACCGGTCACTCTTTTATTGTAGTGGGAGGCAGCCTGGTGTGATGGCAAATCCTGTAATGAGATACTAATTTATCTTTGGTCCTCACGTGGAGCATCCTTTGTTTAATGGACACCGAAGGTAAATGGAGTGAGGCGGTTAAATTAGCTGTTCTGGATGGGTGCAGCCTTGTGCAAGTGTTTGCAGTCGTTACTTTAAGCGCTTATTTTGGAGACTTTTAAGTGCTGAGAATTCAGAATATATAGAGCAGCATTTAGGAAAAATGTTAGCGTGGTTGCCTGCTTTAAGATGAACTGCAGCTGTGCCAAGGAAGGAACGTGCCATTTAAGGAACACTAAAGCTCTGAGTGAAGTTTTTACTCCACTTTATTTAGAAACTTGCTGGAGTGCACCGGATGCCGGGGGAAACCAGAACACACTTCTTAGATTGTCAGACCAAAGGCAGGAAGGTTCCCACAGGGCCCTGCTCCTGATGCAGCTTCTGTTTCTTATTTAGGTTTTGTTTCTTAATACCGAAAAGCTTGTAGTGGCGTTCTGACAGCTGTGGCCTGGAAATTTGTCTGAATTAAAGCGGGTCTTGTTTATTTACTTAAAACTACCGACAGACTTAGGGCAGTCCCACAGCATTTTTTAGGGCTTGCATAATCCTGAAATAGGTTCTGTTGATTCAAAATAAATATGGCAAAAAGTCTTTTTCTTTGGCCACTCAAAGTATTTGTATGTATACAAGTGGGACAGCTGTGAAGTTGCAGGTATGCTGGGCGTAGTGCCTGGAATTGATAGGAGATGTGATAGGCCTCACTTCGGTTGCTGGAAGAGAAGCAAGAGCACAAATTAAATGAACTGAAGGTAGAGAAGTTAGGAGACATCTGTCTCCTAACCAGTCCCTCTGGTTCCACAGGACACATCAGGTAGATATGTGGCTGCTCCTATCCTATTTAGCTTCTTGTTCTTGGTCCTTTAAACCCCACATTTGCTGTTACTGGAACGTCCTGTGGCAAAGTGTTAACTCTGTTGGAGGAGGAAGATAGAAGGCTCTGCAAATGAGAGATTTTGGGACTTCATCATTTATCTTTCGAGCTAAAGGACAGCAGGTAGGCCTACATATGTGTTGCAAGTATAGTAAAAGAGAAACACCTGAAAGAATGAAGTCCTGTGCAACTCAGTTCATGCCTGGAAGCTCCTCTGCCTCAGTCTCTGCCCCTCCTGTATGTGCTGGGAAACTGACCTGCAGGTGGAGATGCCTGGGATGAGGAGGAGATGTGACAGTGGCAATCAGGTCCACAGCAGTTGGATCATGTGTTTGTCTCTTGCCACAAAGAACTTACAAAACTGTGAATAATGACATAATAATTATAATTATGAAAACATAACTCATATAGAAATGACCAGGAGTGTCTACACTTGCCATGTTGCTGTGAGATGTTAGACACTGATTTGTCTGATCCTCATAAAATGCAGAGAACTAAAGGAGTAGAATTATATCTCTAGCAGCGTGTACAATTCCCAGCTGCAAGGTCACAGTTTGTCCTGAGCTGCACCAACACGAACTGGTGAGGAAAGGATTCTGTTCCGAGGCTCCAGGTGGTTGGTGTGACAGCCAAAGCAGAGGAAGAACAAATGCCACTTTCGTGGTTTGGGTTGGAATGGCAGAGCTGGCAAAACACTTTCATCTAAAATTAAGGGGTGGCTCCTGAAAAACTGTCTGATAGATTCAGCATACAGCAACTATGAGAAGGTCTACTGCTTCTCCCATTTTAGTGGTGGAACCAGGAGTCTTCGAAAGTCATCTGAAAGCTCTTTATTGTTTGGAGGAGATGTCAGTTCCAAGCAGCTGGGTTTATTGCTGGGCCTATATTCTAGGAAATTGCTGATGGATTTATTACGCCATGAGTGTTTGCTGCTGAGTGGTGACACCAAAGCCTCAGACCATGCTGGATGTTTACTGTCCCCTGAAGGCAGTTTGTAAGGCTGTAATAGCTAGTAATCAGTGACTGGATGTGGTCAGGGGAGTTAGATCAACATGCAGAGGAAGAAGATGAATCATGAAGTAAATCCGGTATTGATGCTGTAGGAACGGCTGATGTACAAAATGTTTGTGGCAGATGTGGATACCTCCTTAATGACTTCTTTGACTTCTGTGACCCTACGGTTCAGGTTGCAGCCAGCTCATCTTTGTGCTCCCGAGATCAGCCTGCACATTATTTGTGCATTTTCCCATACTTGGACTGATGAGCATTCCCAGCTGGATGAGCCGCAGTGTGCTTTGCAGATCACCAGCCCAGCTGCACAATGTGTGCAGTTTATGCCCGTGCCCATAGCGTGTAGAGAGCAGAACAGCAGCCGTGGGCACAGCAGAGCAGTTTC